TGTGCGAGTCGCCTTCAGTTTTCTTCTGTGAAAAATTGCATTCCAATAGATTTATTCAAGGTTTATCTTGGAGCTGGAAATGTCAAAAGTTGCATAAGAGGAAAGAGTTCATCGGATGATTTAGAGCGTTCTCAGAACAAAACTGCACCTGTTAAAATAATATTAAGCATAACTTTTTGAAAGAGCACGGGCAGTAAATCATGGCGAAATCAGCACCAGACGCGAAGATGAGAACGCGCATCACCGGAACCAGCCAAAAAAAAATGTCTTCCGTCTTCTCTTTCCGACAGTTGCGCAACATCTCTGTCTCGTTTGCGAGCCACGACAGAAAGAGACTAAGCCACTTGGTCCTTGAAAAAAAAAAAAAAAAATAGAAATCTACTCGCGGATGTGGCTCATCCTTCTGGCAGACTATTTTAATCCGGAACTCTCAGACTGCAAAACCTAGGGGGACGAATAGATTCTTACATCTTGCAGATTCACTAATGATCGTTCGCTCTGCATGTATGTAGAAAAAGTTTTGAAAAATATTTTTTTAAGAGTAGCATGAAAAATGGAAAGAAAAAAATAATGAGAAAAAAAGCCGTGATTATGGGAAATTATCCAGCAAGGAACGCAGTCATATATCATATAGCCGTTGCGCAATTTTTGCCTTTGCGAGATATGGATGCGAGGCGGTTGTATATCACCGGGGGTGCATAAAAAAAGCAGCCTAAGGCCTCTCTCCATGGGCTTGTTTTGCCCGAGGTCCTAACGTCTTTTGACCATATTTCTGGTTGTAAATACAGCGGGGGTAGTGGCCAAAATATGACAAGCGCGTTGCCGCCGGCAAGTTGCACTTGCATTTTCATTCTCGCTGCGTGTAGTCTCTCGTCGCAGTTAAAGAGGCGGCAACGTGGCCTTGGATATCACGTTAGACGGTCGGCTCCGACCTTCGCTTCCGGAAGCGAACGAGACGGAGATGTTCGCCTCCTAGTGATCTTCCTCCCGCTGCGGGTGGAATGTTTTTTTCGTTTTGTCTTAGTGGTAGCGAAGAGATCGCGGCTTGTCTTGGCTCTTTTTTCATCTTGGTCAGCTCCAACCATGTTTTCACTTCCGTGTTTTATGAGGTCGGAATGTTGCGTGAAGCCGTAGCTGTCAAAGCGCTGATGTTAGAGAAAATATTCCGAGAAGCTCCCGAAGACGACGGGGTAGAAAGGCTCACTAGGCGTGCATGAAGGATCGCTCAGTGTCTCAGAGCATGCCGTGACGAATTTCACGTTTGGAAATACCGATTAGATGCGCTGAACATATTATCGTGCTCATGGGCACAAATATTTAACCAATGCGGTGGGCTTCTGTTCTTTTCCGTTAAATGTATAGTTTCAATGCCAAATCTCCATTCTCAGAGTGGACGTGATGAGAACTCGTGCAGTGGTGATTTTTCTTCTCACGTTTTGCTCAACTTCTTCATTTTCTTTCGTCAGAAGCAGCATGCTATGCGGTAGATGCGTTGTCTGAAGAATACACATCAATCCGTTACTGCTCCGTTAGTGTTCAGTTGTTAATCACGGACTGTTGCTAAATCTAACAGTTGTTCGTCTTAAATATACAACGAACCATTACAAGCATAAATTATGAAAATCATATTTTTAATTCTTGTAGTAAATAAAATGTATTTTTCGTTTAATTTTATGAAAATAAAAAATTTTGACTACGGAAAGAAATATATTGAAAAGCACGACGAACGTATTAGAATTATAATAATACAAAATTCTTTATGATCTCTTCGATATTATTCGTAGCACCATGGTGAACTCATGCATCCTCAAGAAAGAAAATTATTTGTTGATATTAAAATCACTATTCCCGCTCAGAATGGATATATGTGTACAAGAAAATTTCTTGACATTTCGAAGACTTCTAATCGTCTGAAATTTACAGCATTAGAGCGGCGACTGGCGGTGCCGTGATAACCAGCTCGATATCGATAGTATTGTGATATTAGTTTTAATCATTTAATAATGTTTCTTCAATTTCAAGACCCTTATTGTCATTATATATTTAGTTGTAGAAGCCGACGTGACGGAAAACTGTTTGTTATCAAAAATTGATTTATTCTCTAAATAAAATGAGTATAATATTTTTCGAGTCATAAAATGAATAAAAGATTGAAAAAATCCGGATGAATGTTGTAAGTTTCGAAATGAAGAATCGTCTGAAAGATTGAATTTAAATAAAAATAATAGTAATGAGACGTTAGGAAAGATGTCTGTGGATTTTTGTAGGAAGCTCAAAGTGTTAGAAGCGGTCTCTTAGCTCGCGCCAGAACAAGGATAATCGTCGAACATCGAGATAAATAATGGGGTGAATTGCGCGTCGTTGAATATTAAAGAGACGTATTATACGAGCGGCTGTTTTCGAGCCCCAGGCAGCATAATCGTAAGCTACACGCGCTGCAGCAAGCAGAAGCCAATTACTTCGATTTAAAGATGCTTGTTTTGCGCTCATGGCTCGTAATTTTGCTGTTTAACATTTGAGAAATTAGCGCGCCCGCGCGATTTCACCGTCGCAAGCGCACGAGACAAATTTTAATTTGCGGATGATTTACGCCGATTGTTTTCTCACGCGAAAGGAGAATTTCTCCTGTTGGCCGACGAAAGCAGGAAGCCACCACTGCGTTATGGCAGCCAACAATAATAATCCCTGATTACATGGGCAAAAGCCAAAAGAAAGAAAAGTGAACTTTCACTTGGCAGCGCGCTGCTGCTGCTGCGCTGCCAACAACCCTTTTGCTCATTTTTCTCTCGGCGTGCGGTCTGCGAATTTACGACGCCGCGCCCGAGCGAAAGGGTTAAGGCACGCGAGTGCAAATCGAATGACGAGTCGAAGCCGCAATGAATGGCGCACGCCGCAGAATTGTCTTGTAGGCGAGCGGGCGGTACTCTTTCCGTAAGGTTAATCCGACGACCGCTGTCACAACCACAAACACCGTAAATCAATACGTCGTCCCTTGACTTTCCGCTGCTTAAGACGTCACGATCAACCGTTGATCATTTTCTTTCTTTCAATTTCATCGCGGCCGGACGCGCGTGAATTTTTAATTGACACGCGGGACGTGCTTTTTGCACGAACACGCCGACAGCCATGAATCTATTTCGTTATGATAAACGCCCTTTTATTACACTGCGCAATGAAACATTCGCGGTATGTTGGAAGCATAAACCAAACGAAAATTATTGCCTGGGAAACGGGAGTTATGAGCGCCAGAGATATAACACAGCGGCCTATAAATTAGAGGAACAAAAATGAGCAAGTACCGTCAACAATCACCTACGATAAAACATTCAAACGCACGGGGAAGAAATGAGATAGAAAAAGCTCGCTTTTATGATCGCACACGATGATGATTTCAAGAACTCTTCGTCCTCGCCGGATCTCTATCGTAAATCTAGCGCGATAACGAAATCTTACGTACGTCTGATGACGACTCCGTCTCATGAAGGTCCACGAACATGCTGTTTTATGTATGTTGAATGGCCTTTTTACATCATGAGCTTGTTGCTTTCTTATCTCCTTTCTATTTATGTTAAGTGCTTACTAAAAGATTTTCATCGTTCCAAATCATGAATAATAATGTCATGAAGCCAGTACTTTTTCCATCTTTACGACATATTGATTCCGTGACTGGTAACTCGGGTATATTCTACATTCTTTGACCCATCGAATAGTACTACCATTTCGAAAAGCTCTAGTCTTGAAAGAGCCCCAAACCGTCGATATTAAAATTTATAATTCAGATAGATATCTCTGTGAAATTGTATGTGTAATAAATGATCACATAGTCTGCACGACAATTTCATTGATGACGATTTGAGTGAATAGCAGTAACGGTTTACTCGCATCTTTCTAGGGATTCTAGTGAGTAGGAACTCAAGGTTACAAGGTTTCTGGAGGCTTATCCGCTAACCTTCTCCTCTAAAGCAAAAGGCAACTGGTACTTATCTCGTGTTGCCAAAGGGTTGAGACGTTAGTAAGCTCGTCATAAATATTGCAAAGATCAACGGGTCAAAATTGAACTATTGTCTAAGTAAGTGGCTTTCGGTAGTCGAGAGGCGGTAAGAAATCGTGATTTTGAGACACCATGTTGAGTTTTTGACACGTTTGATAGACAGACGGCTTGTCGCCACACCCCTTGATAGACGTTATAAATTCTCAGTTCTCCGTTTTCACTTAAGAAAGTCAACCTTACAATCATGCTTAGTCACTACACATTGAAAATCTTCGTATATTCTAATAAATACTCAATAATATATCATTAATTAAGCTGTGTATTATAAAAGCTAAAAAAGCAGTAACATCGATGTAATTTTAAACGAATTCGTGCGTTTAGCTAAAATGCAGTGAGACCACCGTATCTTATACGTATGTAGCCACGTGGCATCAGTAATACCACATGATGGTTTCAGGTAACCGATAAGCACATAACCACTTAATTAACATATAGTAGCACGAGTGATATGATAGAAATGGGCATTTCAATAAACATCATTCTTCTTCTGTAAAAATAAAAAAGCTTTGTATCTGTCTTGAAAATTGTGAATAAATAATTTGACGTTTCTAATAAATATTAAAACCATATGCGCTATTCATGTTTATTTTTTCATTTAAAAAAACTAATTAATTAATTTCTGACAATTATTTTTGCAGTCCTGAAATCACCAAAATAACCGTGGTAATAAGTGATCTTGAAAAGAACATTGCTAATATTTATACAAATCGAGATGATAGTATGAGAAGTTGTTTCATCACGCGTTGATATCGTGCTAATATGTGATATTGAGATCGATTTTATATACGATTAAAGCACACTTTTGAATATTGCCGGATTGCTTTATAAACAAAGTTAGATAGATAAAACTTGGTCTTTTCATATAGAGTAGATAGCATCTTTGTAATTGCAACTCAATGTGTATTCCTTCAAATTACTAAACACTCAGTGTTACTGTACTAGAGTTTTAGTTGCTTCGATCGAATCTCTTCTCATTTCCAACTTCATGTAGACACCTCGAAATTGCTTAATGATTTTCACAACAATACATTTTTAATAAAGTTAGTATTCATTGTAGACTAAAATAATGAGTCTGCTGCCGGAACATTTGTTCACTGCATTAGTTCTACTGGAAGTTCTACCTATTATGTTTGCTCACGTTGATCCTGTCGATCTTAATCATCTTCCGAGGGATTGGAAAACTGGCCTTTTACGCTACAGTAAGTACAAAGAATTAACCTTCTGGATTTTATTGCAACATTTAAATATTTATTTGTATATTTTTTAAATTAATCTGCTTAGAAGAAATTGAAGAATTACTTAATCCACTTGTTTACTACATTGTTTTCCCTTCAACTAAAGTTTCTCTTTAATTTTTTCGATATTTAACAATAAATTTATTAACATGAACAATTTTTTTACAAATATATGTTCCGAGTTCATAAAAATTCACGAAAAATATTTCATTATTAGCTCCGGATCTAAGTAAGATGACAGACGACGAAATAGTGAAGTACAGAAATATAATTCTCAAAAACCCTGGCCAGTAAGTTTTTAAAATTACAAACGTACAATGTATAAAGTGAAATTTATTTACTATTAGTTTCCTCCGAGCATTCGATATTAGATATTCTTATTACTTGAAATGAAAATTTAACTCAGTATAAGATAGAAAATGTAATTTTTATAAGTCATTATAATTATGTTTTCCATTTAAAACAAAACTTTTCATGTTTTTCTTAGGAAGCTTATATACGTTTATTAGTGACAAAGAAGAAAAAAATGCATTAAAATGTTTTTTAATAGAGTTGATAAAGAAAAGCAAATTTACATTCACAGTGAAAAATATTGCAAACCCTCTGGCCTCCCCAATAATATCCTATGGTGGCATTGGAGAGTACCGAACTGGTGTAGAGTTGAAGCTGAAGGTAGTTTTTGGACTGTAGAGGAATACGAAGATTTATGCTGCGACGGTCACGGCTGGTGTTATTGCCATTATAGAAATGCTCATTGCGAATGTGAAGTGTAAGATACTATTGTTACACTAGTTATTAACTGATGTTTTTATCAATTTAGAATATGATACTTGCTTGACCAGCGTTCTTAAGGTCGTTCAAATCAATGAAAATTTCTCCGTAGAAGTCTAATCAAGGTAAGAATAAAAAACATTTTACGAAAAATCAATATGAAGGTATTCGTGTGGTTTCTGTAAAAGTTATTTTACAAATGTAATTGTCACAGTTAATCGCTTAGTGAAATTGTAAAAGTTCTATCACGAAAACGTGACGTGACATCGAGAAGTACTTTACTAGCTTAACATCTGCTGGATTTATTGCCGACATTAAAATGTGAAATTCAATCAACCGACACACTTGTATAAAGTTTTGACAAGCAATTAAGGGACAGAAGAATGCAGGTACAACGCACATCCATTCACGCTGTATTCGCAAATTTTCATTAACTTTTCAATGTCTCGCACGTGTATCGTTTCAATTCCCGTGCATTCGTTATACTTGATCCCCACACAAAACGTCGCGCGCGCCTTCAATTATACGCTGGATCAGCGCCAATTGACGCGCTAATTATCGGTTCGGCGAGCGTTTTTTATATACCTTGGCTTTATCAAGTTGCAATTGTTGTACGCGCAGATGGCGAGTGAGAGACTACAAGCTTCATTTTCATGAGCGCAGGATTGAAAACGGCAAATCTTCTTTAACACAGTGCACTATCTGCAAGTTTTGCATCCATCAGCTTTAATTTTCGTAACTCACTCCGCGAGTGTTATATTTCGGATCTTATCGTTCTTTAAGCGTTTTAATTATCGGAAGCTTAAGTGACTTGCGTTGACTTAAGTGATGCTTAAGAGGCTGACGTTGAGCGGCAGAATAAAAAACAAAGTGAAAGGGTGGAAGCAAGTTTTCGGCCTTCGGTAGAGTACACGCGTAATTAAGTGCATTTGTTCGAGGTTTATTGACGTTGCGCGCAGCTAAGAGCCTTACTCGCGCTCCAATGGAACCGATCCGTCGGCTCTCTTTTATAAGACTCGATCGTCGTGTCGGCCGGGTGTGGAAACTCTCTGTATGCCATGACGTGCACCGTGCGCCGTATGTTTCAGATTAAATTATTCGTGAGCTCTTTTTTTAAGCGACTCAGGGTTACTGTCCTGTTCACGCTTCGCTTAAACAATCCATCTAAGTCTTACGCAGGAATTTTTTCGGATGACCGTACGTCTTATATATTCACCTCGCATCATTTGTTTTGTATTTTAACTTGATTAACCGCTCAATGCAACCGAACGATAAAACGCTGCAAAAGATATCGATTTTCATTGTCACGAGTTTCGTCCTTGATCTCGTTGTAATCTCAGCGAATGAAAACAAAATTCGCGATTACCCAAGAGAAAATGTAGACATTAGAATAGCACATTTGATAAGCAACATATGAAAACGTCCAATACTATATGTACAACAAGAATAACGAAAATACATGTATGTATCGCGAGTAAAACGTAATTTAACAGCCTGAAAGGGGGGAGGGGGGCGAGTAGCCAACGAGATCTCCATATTCTCATGAGACGTAGGGGTAATAACGTGTCCGTTAAATTTTGCATCCGTTCGCCTCTAAATACCCTCAGAGAGCGCGCTGTCCTCCCTTTTGGCGACGAGATAAAAAAAGGGACGAGATTACTCCGGGGACCAGGTGCGCTCTGCTCTGCTCTGCTCTGCTCTGCTCTGCTCTGCTCTGCTCTGCTCTGCTCTGCTCTTTCCTCTCTCTCTCGGTTGTATGTGGGCGTATAGTCGTGTTATATCCACTTTAGTTTTCATAATAGACCCTTCGCATGCGGGTGCATTCATTTGCGCGAGCTGGACCCGCGTGAGAAGAGCCCGAATTACGCTAAATAAACGGCTGCGTGCAGCGCGCGTGTGCGTATACGTACGATGACGGGCCTTTTAGAAAGGCGGAGTGGGAGAAAAAGTGCGTGTCAATGAGACCATTAGCGCCTCGTTCGATGTGGGTTTGCCAGCGCCTGTGCTCGTCTGCTTTTCCTCGTGGGAAAACCATCGAATCGCGCAAAATTACAACATATTTAATGTGACTTTATTATCGACTTGTGAAACATTAATGATAATTCAAAATTAATTTTGTTTAAATAACATGTATTATTATGGATGCATCAAAAATATAATTATTTAAATTCGTTGCAATTGCATTTTTCCGAATACCAATGCGCTTTTACAAATTATATTGCAAATACACACAAGTCTCTGTTAGAGCCACCGAATTTTAAAGTCACCGCCCTCTATTGGAAAAAAGCGCAACCCCCGAGTGACTTTTACCTACCCTCCAGAAGTTACCTACCTGACGTTAACCACTGCTCGAACATTTTTCAGTTATTTTGAATGATATAATTGCGAAAAGAATATATAAAAGCAAAATATTTTTCTATAATAGAAGACGTAATTTATTAAATTTCACTGTCCTTTTGACTATGGCAATGATACTTTTTATGCCATCTCCTTTTATCGTTGTAATAAAAAATTGTACATGAGATTAGTAATAAACATAAATTTGTGCACGTATCTGACTGATGTTGAGTGAATTTGACAGTAGTAAAAGAAAAGAAATCGACGAAAAACTGGATGACGGTGAACGGTAAGAAATGAGGCCGTATAGGTAAGGTAAAAGTGTTATCTTATCATCGAGCAACTGCACATCAGCTGTTTTTCCGAAAATTGATGTTACAAGCTTCCACGGCGATACATAAAAGAGCGACTACGAGTCGACGGGAGCACTTGAAAAAATAAGGGAAAAAAGCAAGAAGCAAAGGCGCGATGAGTTGATAGCGTGCGACGCGCAGTGCAGCTGTCGCTGATAACTACTCTCCGGTCTGCGTCGAAGACGAAAAGGGCTGGAAGCTGAGCAAGCGAACTGCTCTGTATATAAGCCTGCAGAGGCGCATGTAAACGGAGACGAGCGAGCGGCGGCAGCGCGGGCATGTGTGCGCCGTGCATTATCTGTTTCTCGGTCGTGTGCGCAAACAGCATATGGCAAGCTCTCTCGCGCGGTAATTATTCAAAGGCGCCATTACGAACGCGCGTGCGGCGCAGCGCGCGATAGGAGCGTCGCGCGATGCACATCCCGCTCGGTGTGCGACGGCACTTTCTAAATAGGCGCGCGCGATATCGCCTCGTCATTAAGGCTCGCGCGTCCGAAACTAAAAAGAAGAAGAGTGTTGACACGCCAGCCGAAGAGCAGAATCACGACAATGCCTCGGCGTCACGCGTATCCATCTTATTAACGGATGTTAATCATGTCGCCACAAGCCGAGCCGACCACCTCGGCGTTGCATTGTCTGCCCGAATATCCTGCACGAGTGCTCTGCCTGCACCCTCGCTCGCTGTCATGTGCACCATGCCGGACTTTCTTCTTCTTCTTCTTCTCGCTTGTGTAATAAGATACTCGCCATCTCCGTATGTAAATGCCTGGCTATTCATTACCAGGCACAGACCACGCTGAATGATTGGGATGACTCTCGTGCGGCCGCGCGCCGGAGCTTCGCTTTCGAGCTTGGAATCCTTTCACACACACACACACACGCGCGCGCGCGAGAGAGAGAGAAAGAGACAGAGAGAGGATTGAACCTGGGAGGCCCTTGTGCCACGATATAATACTACCATGGCACACTGATATTCTAGGGATATATGCCATGATTTTTCAACTCAGCTTTGCACCGTCGTATATGTCTAAGTATAGTTGGATAAATCTCTCGCATACCTGTACCATAATAAAGTCATTGTTGTTTGTAACTCCGCATGAGAAATTTCAACTTTGCGCGCTCTCCGGTCATTTTAAAGAAGCGTCTTATATTTTTTTTCAAGTACGTCAGCGAATAAATTTTATAAGCACTGGATAATCGAATAAGCGTATTGACGATATCGACATTCCTTCAATTAAATAACAATGTACAAGTACGGGAGGCAAGCAATGGATTTCATTATCTTGCTGACTGATACTAATGCTTGTGAGCCGGAGGAGGGAAAAGAAAAAGAATAAAAAAAACGAAAGTTCAGCTGCGCTAAAGCATTGCCACGGACATGCGAATGACTCGGCCAACCTGGTCCATCGATCTTCTAGTGTGCGCAGCAGTGAACGAATAGTTTGGTATGTTTTACGATGTTGCTTGTACGACAATTTCGCAGCTGGCCGAACACTCTCGCTCGCGCAGTGCAAGTCAATATTCAAATTATCCAACGTCGATACATTTTTCTTTCCTCTTTACCGCCGCGCTGCTTCTCAACGTTATACATGTGAGAAATTATGATGCGCGTAGGGGAGGATTAATGATTTTTTTCTCAATTGAAAATATCAAATTATCCATGACCAAGCAGAATAGCTATATGTGCTATGGGATCATCGTTTCATGTTTATTTTTAATGGGAAGATTAACGAGACGTTAGACAGGTGAGAATTCTATTCGCATGCCGGTAAATACATCAGCTTGTCGGGGGTAGCGGGGGAGGGGGAGTTTTGCTCGCTCGCTCATATTTTGTCGGATGATGAAGCCGAGCGAGTGAAGAAGGGCACGATAAGATGAATGCCACCTCATCGATCGAGGATCGTATTTCGAGGATGCATTTTTCATTTACCTTTACTTTACTGTACCTTGGACGATTATTCATTATAATGTGCAATTTAATAATTATTGTACTTTTTATAAAGGAATAAAATAATTTACTAATCAGGCGAATCTACGTTGCATATCTCACGACGCTGTTCGTTTTCCAAATGGTAACTTCAAATGTTCCGATTTAACCCAAAAGTACAAACTGATTGAATACAAAAGTGTTATTCAGTTGATTATGCATGAGCTACATGTCTAGCAGAACGATATTACAAGCAAAGACGTCAAGTAGTACATTGACGAATCGCACAAGTATGAGTCTCAATTTCAAATTAAAAAACAGATAAGTACGGCGGTGTAAATTCACTCTACTCATGCTGACTACGACAATAAAGCGAAAGGAAATGTAACAAGCGGAGAAAGCACTTGGAAACTTTTCTTAGCGCTATGTCAAATGCATTGGATGGAAAAGAAGAAGTCTAATACTGGCTAAAGTAGAGAAGAGTAGAGGCAAAATTCAAAGTAGTCCTAAGTCGGTTAAGGGTGTTAGGTATGCTTGGGTGGTCCAAGCGAGATGGGGGGGGAGTCAATATTAATCGGGACCTCGCACGGCCGAATCGCTTTTGGCTTTCATGAGGGTTACTAATGTGCCGGGACTCCTTAGCGTCATTGTAGATGGATATCTCGCTGCAGCAGCCGCGCGTAACGCG